AGGAGGAGCAAGGTCGGGGCAAAATGCAGAGAAGGCTACAGAGCCCGGTCTTCCAATACGGACCAACTCTGGGGGGCTTGGTCGCCCACCCCACGAGCCTAAGAACATAAGAACATAAGAACAAAGGTAACTGCAGAAGGCCTATTGGCCCATACGAGGCAGCTCCTATTCTATAACCACCCAATCCCACTCATATACTTGTCCAACCCGTGCTTGAAACAATCGAGGGACCCCACCTCCACAATGTTACGCGGCAATTGGTTCCACAAATCAACAACCCTGTTACTGAACCAGTATTTACCCAAGTCTTTCCTAAATCTAAACTTATCCAATTTATATCCATTGTTTCGTGTTCTGTCCTGTGTTGATACTTTTAATACCCTATTAATATCCCCCCGGTTATGTCCATTCATCCACTTGTAAACCTCTATCATGTCACCCCTAACTCTTCGCCTTTCCAGTGAATGCAACTTAAGCTTTGTTAATCTTTCTTCATATGAAAGATTTCTAATTTGGGGAATTAACTTAGTCATCCTACGCTGGACACGTTCAAGTGAATTTATATCCATTCTATAATATGGCGACCAAAACTGAACTGCATAATCTAAATGGGGCCTAACTAGAGCAAGATATAGCTTGAGAACCATACCAGGTGTCTTGTTACTAACGCTGCGATTAATAAATCCAAGTGTCCGATTTGCCTTATTACGAACATTTATGCATTGATCCTTTTGTTTTAAATTCTTACTAATCATAACTCCCAGATCCCTTTCGCAATCCGACTTCGCAATCACAACACCATCTAGCTCGTATCTTGTAACTCTATCATCATTACCTAACCTCAGAACTTTACATTTATCAGCATTAAACTGCATCTGCCAATCCTTTGACCATTTCAAAACCCTATCTAGATCAACTTGAAGTGATAGCGAGTCCTCCTCCGAATTAATTTCCCTACCGATTTTCGTATCATCGGCAAATTTGCAAATGTTGCTACTCAAACCTGAATCTAAATCATTTATATATATTATAAACAACAGAGGTCCCAGGACAGAGCCTTGAGGCACTCCACTTACAACATTTTCCCACTCTGACTTGATTCCATTTATACTAACTCTCTGTTTCCTTTGGTATAGCCATGCCCTAATCCAGCTTAATATAGCACCCCCAATACCATGAGACTCTATTTTTTTAATCAGTCTTTCATGTGGCACTGTATCAAAAGCTTTGCTAAAGTCAAGGTATACAACATCGCAATCCTTACCACTATCAACTGCCTCAACAATGCTAGAATAAAAAGATAACAAATTTGTTAAACATGAACGGCCATTTATAAAACCATGTTGCGACTCAATTATTAATTTATGTTTTTCAAGATGAAGACGAATTTTATTTGCTATTATAGATTCGAGTAACTTTCCCACAATAGACGTTAGGCTAATTGGTCGATAGTTAGACGCAAGTGATCTATCTCCTTTCTTAAAAACTGGTATCACATTAGCAACTTTCCAAAACTCTGGCACTCTGCCTGACTCTATTGATTTATTAAATATGGTTGACAGTGGGTCACAAAGCTCCTCTTTGCATTCTTTAAGCACCCTAGCAAACACTTCATCCGGCCCTGGGGATTTGTTTGGTTTGAGTTTTACTATTTGTTTAAGAACATCCTCCCTGGTAACTGCTAAACTCGTCAACCTGTCCTCGTCCCCACCCACATAGACTTGTTCGGCTGAAGGCATATTGTTAAGTTCCTCTTTAGTAAATACAGATACAAAATATTTATTAAAAATACTACTCATCTCTTCATCACTATCTGTTATTTGACCTGTCTCAGTTTTTAATGGACCTATCCTTTCCCTAGTCTTAGTACGATATAACTGAAAAAACCCTTTAGGATTTGTCTTTGCTTGCCCTGCTATGCGAACTTCATAGTTTCTTTTTGCTTTCCTTATCTCTTTTTTAACATTTCTAACCAGTTGTACGAATTCCTGTTCTAAAGTGACCTCCCCATTTTTAATCCTTTTGTACCAAGCTCTCTTTTTACCTATAAGGTTCTTCAAATTCTTTGTTATCCACTTTGGGTCATTAGTATACGATCTATTCAATTTGTATGGTATACTACGTTCCTGTGCTTTGTTTAGAATATTCTTAAATAAGTTATATATTGAATCCACATCGAAATCCCCATTTAAGTCACCTATCGCTGGGTTCATGTCTCGCTCCAAGACCGGCCCACACCCCATACCCAAGCCTTTCCAATCTATTTGACCCAAAAAATTTCTTAGGCTATTAAAATCAGCTTTTCGAAAATCTGGCACTTTAACAGAATTTTCTCCTACTGGTATATTCCATTCTATGCTAAATCTGATTTCTTTGTGATCACTGCTCCCTAGCTCACTCCCTATTTCGATGTCATTAATTTGCGTTTCCCTGTTAGTTAACACTAAATCTAAAATATTATTTTCCCGTGTTGGTTCCTTAATGTGTTGCGTAAGAAAGCAATCGTCAATTAATTCTAGAAAATCTTCTGCTTCACTATTCCCTGTTTTGTTCAACCAGTTTATTCCGCTAAAATTAAAGTCACCCATGACATAAATACTGTTAGATCTAGATGCTCTAGATATTTCATCCCATAGATGCTTTGCTTCCATTCTGTCTAAATTTGGTGGCCTATATATTACTCCTATTATAATATTATTAGCTTTTTCGTTTAATTCAATCCAAATAGTTTCTGTGTGTGGCTCTGTTTTGATTCCCTCTTTGAGACTACATTTCAAATTGTCCCTAACATATATGGCTACTCCACCTCCTCGTCTAATATATCTATCTGTGTGAAATAGTTTAAATCCATATATTTGATATTCAGCTAATAGTTCTCTATTTTCTACATTCATCCACGTTTCGGTAAGTGCAATAATATCTATTTTTTCTGTGCAGACAAGAGCATTTAATTCGTTAATTTTATTTCTTAGACTTCTACTGTTAGTGTAATATACCCTAAGTGAATTGTTATTTTGCGGACCTTCTCTTTCCCTGATCGTTTTGCCAATTCCTTTCTCCCACAAACACATACTTTTATTACCTCCTTCCTCCAAATCAATTCCCATACCTCTATCTACTAACAGTTTAAACCCAAACAAACACCTCTAACCACTTCTTCTAGCGAGTTCGCAACAGCAACAACCCCAGCTCTCGATAGATGCACCCCATCACGAGCATACATTTCATTTCTTCCATAGAAGTGTTCCCAGTTGTCTATGAAAGATATTGCATTTGATTTGCAATATCTCAGCAAATATCTCATTCTTTCCAGGCGGCAATTGACACCAAGTGCCCTCGATATCCATTCATTTCCCACTCCCTTTCTTGGAAGAATGCCACATATGATCGGGATTCCTCCCTTGCTCCTAACTAACTCTATGGCTGTTTTATACCTCTGAATCAGTTCCTCACTCCTGACTCGACCAACATCATTTCCTCCCACGCTAATGCAAATAATGGGATTGTTCCCATTACCAGCCATAATATCATTCATGTTGTTTATAATATCACCAATGCCAGCTCCGGGATAGCAAACCCTTAACCTGTTCCCCCTATCTCTAGCACAAAACGTTCTATCCAAATACCTTATCTGGGAATCTCCCACAACTAATGTTTGCTTAGGTACTTCCTTTACTTTGAGGGGCCTGCGCTTCCTTTCTCTTCGTTGCTTTCCCTTTTGCGCGATCCACAGTCTCTCCACAGCACTCGTCCTCCAAACGTCAAATGAATTTTTTTTTTTTTTTTTTTTTATATATACAAGAGTTGTTACATTCTTGTACAGCCACTAGTACGCGTAGCGTTTCGGGCAAGTCCTTAATCCTATGGCCCCTGGAATACGATCCCCTGCCGCGAAGAATCGTTTTTTCATCCAAGTACACATTTTACTGTTGCGTTAAACAGAGGCTACAGTTAAGGAATTGCGCCCAGTAAATCCTCCCCGGCCAGGATACGAACCCATGACATAGCGCTCGCGGAACGCCAGGCGAGTGTCTTACCACTACACCACGGAGACTGCAAATTTGAACGAAAAAGAACGAAATTTGAAGTTGCTATGGCGTTTGAAGGCGGCTTTATCAAAGTCTTCTTAAGGCCCCTGTCTTTCGCAACTCTCCAAGACGAGGTCCCTTTACTGCTGGTCTCCTCCTTCGTTACTTCTCGTTGTTTTTTAAGCTGACGCACCTCCTCCCGCAGAGTCCAACTCTGTCCTCAGGGCTCCCACTAGAGTCACCAGGTCCTTCACTACAACTTCCATATTGCTATGAAGGTAAATGAAGAACATATTGCTAAGAAGGTAAATGAAGAACAGAATTAGACATGGGTACGAAGAGAAAAATATTCACGAATATGCCCCCACACCCACCATGGAACCACAATTAGAGGCAGGACACCCAACAAGAAGCTATCGCCGATCATGCTGGGGCCTCCTAGAGGTGCGTCGTGAGTATACGCCCACAAACTCCACCTTAAGAACCGTCAGTCCATCGAGAGCGGGTTCAGTGACGAAAGGAGGATTGACAATAAAAGGTTCCCCTCGCTCTCTACGTCGGGTACTACAGTTCAACGGGCGCAAGAGTATGCCTCCCCAAGCACCCGGGGAGCAAAATAGAAGTCCAAAAGAAAAACCAAAACGAGCAAAAGATCGGCAGGAAACTATAAACAGATAGAAGAGGGGGAGAAAAACGGAACATAAGGAAAAGTTAAAGCAATCCGGCACAATTAGAAGACAGCAGCAGGAGCACAAGGCCACAAAAGGACAGAGGACTGTCCCACGGAGCATCACACCCCGACAGCCGTCCAGCAAGCTCCCTCACGGCGCCAACGGACTGGATGGGGAGGGGGAGTGGACTGGCTAGTGTATGTTGGAGTATGCACCAAGGAGTTTCTACAAGTTATACTTTAAGTATGCGTTTTCCTTGTTTAAGATGTCATTTTGACAAGAGGGGAAAGCAAGCTAGAAGATTTAATTAGTTTTATTTTACAATAAAAAATGCATAAAATTAAGGCAAGTACAGGCTTATTTATTGCTACTTAATTTGTCAGATCATACATATTCCCAAAGTTATTTTACTCTAGCTGCCTTCTTTCATCCATTCTTTTACCAATTTACACTTCATTAATCATGCTAGATATAACCAAGTATCAAAAGAATGCACCAAGCCTGGGGGATTATGTAGCCGCTAGAGACGAAGCAGAAACCCTTGAACACTCCTCAAAAACATTATGATATTTAATGTAATGAATCTTTATATTGCTTGGGGGGAACAGCAAATTTTCCATTTACCATATTTTCTATTGGACTTTAGGATGGGGTTTATATTAGAGCAAGATGGCGAGGGAGGGGGACGGTACAGCTATAAAGGGTTAAGTGTCGTTCATCCAATTAAAATGGCCAATCGAGCTGTTAATTTACAACTAAAAGTTTCACTTTTAGTACATTTTTATACAATTAAATGTTCCCCGTTTAATCACCTTGTGGTCAATTAATACGATTGGTTTTGGAGAAGATGCTATAATTTTAAGTCTAAAATGGTATTACATTACAAATTTATAGAGCTGGCCAAGATACTAATGGTATATATTTTTTAAATAAACTAATGTGGTTCTTAATGACGCCCTCACCCATGGACGATACGGAAACTAATTGTCAAATATTGTTTTAGGAAACCCTGCAACAACTTCCTCCGTCTTCGTCAGGAAGTCTGCTATATTTTGTACAATCGTTAAAAAACGTTCCAGCGTTATTCAGAAAATGTGGAAACAATTTTCTATATATACATAAAAAAAATAAAATCTAGATTGCAAATTAAAACAATATGAAAATCATAGCTGTTACAATTACTACAGCGAGAGAGAGTAGTGCAGAGCTGGGCAAGAACCCTAGCAACACCGCCCCCCGGGGAGCACTGGCGCCGCCTGGCTGGTAGCTCAGTTCACTGGACGAGGTAGTGATGGGTGTGGGGCTGACTGGCGGCGTCGTGCTCTGGGCCATCATGGAGGAACTCTTGACGGAGATATTTGCATCTATAGGTGCCACAGGTGTTAGAGACATCACGAGTGTTGAGTTGACCGTTGTCACCAGTTGAGAAGTATACTCTGGTGTTCTTGTGGTAGAGTTCGTGGAGGGTGGAGACAACACTACCGATGGAACCATTTCTTTCGATCTCGAGGGTGTTATATGCTCTGTACTTTGGTTGGTGGGCAGACCAGATCTTGCCTTTGTGTTGGAGGTCCCACTGGGAGTGGGGAGCACACTGTTAGGTATCGTGGTGGTGGTGGGGGTGGTGATCGTGAGGGTGGTGGCGTGGGGGTGGTGATAGTGGAGGTAGTGGTCGTGGTCGTGGGGATAGTGGTCGTCGGGATAGTGGTCGTGGAGGCGGGAGTAGTGGTGATAGCCGTCGGGGGGGCGGGGGAGGTGGGGAGTCGTCGGGATAGTCGTGGGGATAGTCGTCGGGGTAGTGGTCGTGGGGATAGTCGTCGGGGGGAGTAGTGGGGTAGTGGTCGTGGGGATAGTCGTCGGGGTAGTGGTCGTGGGGATAGTCGTGGTGGAGGTAGGGGTGGTGGGGATAGTCGTGGTGGGAGTAGGGGCGGTGATGGTGGTCGTGGGAGTAGGAGTGGTGGGGGTGGTAGTGGAAGCACTGGGGGTAGTGGTGGTGGTGGGAGTCACACTGCTGGGTATGGTGGTGGTGGTGGTGGTCACACCACCAGGCACGTCTGTGGTAGACCCGTTGCTAGTAAGCTCCAGAGGAGCCCTGTGACTAATTGCTCCAAGATATACACCAGGCCTGTTAATATCAAAATATTAATGCAAGCTTTGAAAACTTGACACAAAGGCGATTGATAAAAGATTAAGCCATCCAAAAGGCGCCACGGGCATGAATAGCCTGTAACGCAAAGGTGAACAATGCCAGCCTTTTATAGTCATGAAAATCTAAGCCATCCCACCACTGTTCAGAGAACCGCTCACCTGGCGTACAAGATTGTGGGCGAGGCGTCCACGATGTCGAAGTGTGCCTCTCTGCTCCACCGCCCCTTGAGGGCTTCCAGTAGCTCGGGCGAGGTGGTCATTTCTCCATCATACACCAACCACTCTGTTTCCTCTGTACATGATCCAGGAACAGTCCCACTGGAACAAGTCAAAGCCTTTTGAAAAAAAGGCTTTATTTAAAATTTTGCTTTGCATTTCTTCATTACAATAACTTCAAACCGAGGTGTTCAGTGCGAACTGAAGTGTTAAGCATTCAGAAAAATTCACTTTTGTCCTTGTTAGAGAAGGAAATATTTGCTATTTTAGTTTATGTAACTTTTCCCACATTGTATATCAGGCATAGCCTTTTATGTCCTTTATACACATTCTTTTGAACACATTTTTTATATATATTATATATATATATATTTTTTTTTTTTTTGGGGGGGGTGCCGAGAGGCGGAAGAGGAACAAGGGGATCACCATCGAGAAGTAATTGAGTAATTATCAAAAAGCACCAAACCGGGAAGGCTATGTAGCACCATCAAATGTGCAGAATAATCAGAGGGCGCTAAATATCACCAAGGATGCCAATACGAGAACAGAAACGAATAAAGTGAACGATATCAAAAGTATCCGATTCTCCAAAGGATACCTGATCAACCAGGCTGTGACTCGTACGTCAGGCTGCGAGCAGCTGCGTCCAACAGCCTGGTTGATCAGTCCGGCAACCAGGAGGCCTGGTCGACGACCGGGCCGCGGGGACGCTAAGCCCCGGAAGCACCTCAAGGTAACCTCAAGGTAACCAAGAATTCTATCGAGGGACAAGGGACCGTGAGGGACGGTCGGAAAGCATGACACGTTCTGGAAGTCAAGACATTCAACAAGGATATGCACAACTGTAAGAGGGACAATGCAATGTGGACAATGAGCAGGGCGGCGCTCCATTAAGTGACCGTGAGCTAAGCGCATATGGCCAATATGCAACCTCGCCAGAGCCGTTTCCCACCACCGGTTACAGTAGTAGGAAGAAGGCCATGGGGACACTGCTCTTAAGAGTACGAAGTTTGTTAAACAGAAGACCAACAACCTTGCCAACGGGAAAGGATGCAGGAATGAATAACGGTAAAATTCTGAATAAGGAATACCTTTACGGGAGGTGGGACAAGAGCCGATAGCTTTCCGAGCGGCTGCGTTTGCAGGCTTATATAAAGGACACCAATATAGCTGGGAACCCAGCAAAACTCTACAGACTTAAATTTACTAGATAAGCAGCCTCTTTACGATCACTGGATGGACTGGATTAAAGGACTCCAGAGCCATGAGGGCACTACGACAGTCAACTACAACCAGAAAGGAGGATTGACTGAGACAGCAGGAGACACAGAGAGAATAGCAAAAAGTTCTGCCGGGAAGACACTAGTCTCCAGCGGTAGGCGACACATAGGCGAGGTCAGGAAAAACATTAGCCTACACTGTCTACAGACTTCGACCCATCAGTGAAGATAGGAATGTAGCGGGACTGTGAAGAGAAGTGTTCAAGGAAAAGGCGTTCAGAACCGTAGGAAGAGAAAAGCTTTAGTGATACAGGTCAGGGCTGTACAAGATTTTGGAAGGGGAACCCTCCACGGGGGCAAGGACGGAACAAGGAGAAATATTGGCAATACGAACTGAAAGAATCCTGCAAGCGAGACAACCCGACAAAGAGGAAGGTGAAGAGGAACAGGAACTACAGGAGGGGTAAAAGTCAAAGCACGACTCTAGCGAGAGTGAGGATGTTGTAAGAGGACGTGTCTGAGACCGCGCAAGGTAGCGAAGACAGTAGCGATCTTTACGGTCTTGGAGAGACATGAAGCCAGTGTCAACACACAAGTCGAGGGCGGGAGTCGAACGAAAGGTACCAGAGCAGAGACGCAACCCAGTAAGGTGCAAAGCATCAAGACCGCAAAGAATACGAGGAGAAGCAGACGAGTAAGCAGGACAACGATAATCAAGTTTAAACTGGACTAGAGAGAAATGGAGAGGAGCGTGCGCCTATCCACTCCAAGAAGTATGGGGACAAAACCTTAAGGAGGTTAAGGGCCTTGGTGCATTCAACTGAGGTAAGAGATATGGCGCGACCAAGACAAACGAGTGTCAAAGATTAATTCCAAAAGCTTAACAGAATCCTTGTTCCAGAATAATCCAGAATACAATGGGGATGACCATAATGAGACAGAGGGACGGCGAACGACATGCTTCCGAGTAAAAGATATAGCACAAGTCTTAGACGTAGAGAACTTTAAGCCATGGTCGGTGGCCCAAGATGACACTGCAATCTCAAGTTGAAGCCGCCGTTGAAGGAGAGGAGAATCACCGACAGCAAAGGGTAAGATCGTCGATAAAGTTGAGAAGACCCCCAGAAGGGAGGAAAGAAAACCATCGAGGGCAACCAGAAAAAGTAGTGCTCAGAACACTACCTTGGGGTACACTTTCGCACTGCCAAAAAGAGGCAGTGGCACCAAGCCTCACTAAAAAGAACGACGAGAGAGGAAGCTTTGGAAAGAGGGGGGGATTACCACGAAGGCCAAAAGAACGAAGTTCGGACAGAATATAATATCTCCAGGTTGTGTCATAAGCCTTTTCTAGGTCAAAAAGGACGGCAACAAGGGAGGTCTTCGCAGCAAAAACAGTACGATTATAGTCCAAGTTCACCAGGACATCTGTTGTGCACCTGCACCTGCAAAATCCAAATTGAGAAGGGAAGAAGTGGTGATGGTGTTCTAAGAACCACATCAGACGAACGTTAACCATACGTTCAAAGAGCTTTCAGACAACTCCTGAGGGCAATAGGGCGAAAGTCATGAAGAGATGTCCCGAGAGATCCTAGTTTCTAAACAGGGAGGACAACGGCATCGAGCCAGTCCTCATGGACTGGGGACGACTCCCAGACCCGATTATACAGACTAGGTAAATACCGAGAGTGCACGGAGGGAGATGGCGAAGCATGTCAATGAATGTTATCAGAGCCCGCCGCCGTAGAACCGCAGAGGGCCAGGACAGGCAGGCAGGAACACACACAAAGCACAATTAGGCGAGTACACAGACAGACATCATTATAGGGAAGTCCGAGATGTGTGAAAATCTAAAGAATGATATTCAAGAACAGGTTTAGGAAGGAAGGATTGAGGAAGATGAGAACCAGAGCTAACAGAAGAAATGTGGGAACCCAGTTCGGTCGCGACTTTCACTGGGTCCGCCACAAAAGTACCACGGAGGTGAAGCACCTGCGAGACATCTGGAACTAACTTGCCCACTATCTTGCAGATTCATTCCCAGATCTGTGGCAGAGGAGTATCCGATATAATGGTGGAAACATAAGATTTACAACACGTTTAGCTGTACGGATGGTCCTACGGGCCACCGCACTCTCCTTCCGAAACAAAAAGAATCAGCCATCTTCCGGCGTCGGTGTTTCTTCCAGGCTGCACGTTTACAGCGGACAGCCCGAGCACAGTCCGCATTCCACCAGGGAACGCGTGCCTCGAGAGGTAGAGAAAGGAATAGAGCGGAGGGCAGTGTCGAAGACTCGTGAAAAAGGAGGAGGGCGCGAGGGAGCAGCAGAATGGAGAGGTCATTGAGTAGCACGGAGGGTAAATAGGTTCCAGTCAGCCTTAGCAAACTGCCACCTAGGAAAGGAGAGGGTGAAAAGAGAAAAGTAACAAGGATGGGGAAATGGTCACGGCTATGAAGGTCATGAAGAACCCACCACGTGAAACCTAAGTAAAGACACGAGCAGAGAGAAAAATCAAGACAGGAAAGGGTGCGAGTTAGAGTCCTAATGAGTGGGCTCACCAGAATTCAGAAGAGACAAGGAAGAAGAGAGAACAGACAATCCGAGAAGGCGACCTCGGGTGTTTGTCAGAACATCACCCCCAGAGGGTATGTCGACAATTGAAATCACCCAGCAGGAGCACAGGCTCCAGCAAGGAGCCAGTGTTCCTGTTAGGCGATTTCAATTGTCGGAAATCGGGAAGATCGGGAAGAGAAAGCAGGACATTTGGGGGGGGGGGGGGGAGGTAAATGGAACAAACCGTATACCATTTACTCAAAAACACAGGCAGCAGAACATTGGATAGGCGATGGAAAAAGTAGGGGACGAAAAGAATATTAGAACGAATCAAGAGCAGTAGAGTTATGGGCCCCAGGAAGAGCTGGGGGGGGGGGGGGGTTGAAGAGAAAGTAATAACCACGAAAGTGACCAGGACGAGCACCAAGCATCGACATCGGCTCCTGGAGACACAAAGGGGCGAAAACTGAAATCAGAAGTTAGAGTTTATGGAAAGGGGCATAATATCCACAAATATTCCATTGAAGATTAGACATCGACAAAAAGAGAAAGGACAGCAACAGAGAACAATGAAGAAACAAAGGTAAATTTAACAGCATGTTAAATAAGCTCAGGATCAGGGTCAGCAAAGTCAGTGTTAGGGGCATAGGTAAACCGAGTAAGGATGGATGGAAAGGAGCGGGAGGACAGACGGGCAGAGTCCGGAGGAGACAACCGAGAGGGGCTGTCGAGGACAGGAGAGGCAGAAACCGGGGAGCGTACTTCAGCAAGGGCAGCAACCAAGAGGGAAGTGGGGCCAAACAAACCTCTATGACGGGGCCCGACCACCGAAACGGGAGGGGATGGAGCAATGGAGTCAGGTGTGGGGGGGGGGGGGGGGGGGGGGGAGCCCTCGAGAGGGGAGAAAAAAAAAAAAAAAAAAAAAAAAAAAAAAAAAGGCCTTCTTACCCGCCGGGGAGGAGGAGGAGAGGAGCCAGACTTACGTTTCTAACTCAAAGAGACAGGTGTTCCAGCAACAACGTACTGAGCGACACACTAGCATCTCAATACGAGAAGAACGAGAGAACATAATTGCTGGGAGGATGATGGGCAACATCCTGTACAAACAGGCGGCGTGGAGAGCTACGAGACGGGGGGGGGGGGGGGGGGGGGGGGAGGGGAGAGATGGGAAGGAGGATCAGAGGGAAATGAGAAAGAAGACACAGGAGACATGGCAGACTGGGTAGGATGAAAGGAAACTCCAGATCGAGAACCAGGAGGGGTACCCTTCGGGACAGAACGTAAAGGAACAGGTGAGGTGGTGGGCATGTCTAGGTCTAAGGCCTGGAAA